CAGAAAGTCCACATAATTTATATTTAATGACTAATAAGTTTTTGTAAAAAATGCGTAATTCTTTTTTAGAAATAGTGTTTCGTTAGAATAATTTTTTATGTATTTTAATTGCACTTAACTTAAAAGTTCGTAGGTAATAAGAAAGAAAACAACCAACAGTATTTTACCCTCACTGTTTTTTATAAAAAATATGTAAAATTTAACGTGTTAATAACTACTTTAAATGTGTACATCAAATTTAAAACCTAATAAGAAACGATTAAGAATGGTTTGGTTCCTTACCACGTGGGTACCTACGTGAAATTACAATAAAAAATTCAAAATTACCACATTCGATACGCAGATAAATAGTGTCACAGAACTTTGCACTTAATTTATAATTATAGCCTTCTTTAATATCGAAAATTAAATTATATTCTTACTGTTATTTTCTTTTGCGGATGACTCGAATATAATAAAAAAAAAAAACAAATATAATTTAATAAACATGCAACCATTAATTAAACATTATGAGCTTACTGACTAGGCCACAATTCCTGTCGCCTTTACTATAATATTGTCACTATTGTGCTTATTTATTGATGTAATATTTAAATTTAAGATTTTGCATAATTTGTGTTTTTATTCATTTTATTTTGACTATGTTTTACTATCAGACTGGTTTTGTGCTTCTAGGGAAACTTGGTAAAAGAAAGTGTACAATAAAATTACAGCGTTTCAATGCAATGTTTTGTCCGCTAAACTGAAAATTTAATCACAAATGTCGATAATGGAAATGTTTAAGAATTAGTACCTGAGCAACCGAGCGTCGCTTTGCGTTTTCTTTTTGTAAAATCATGTTTTTAAGCGATTGTAAAACCGAGGTTTTTAAATCAACATATATTATTTGTTTTGTTTTTTTTTTATTATCTGGGGTTACCCGCGACTACTCTGTAGAGGAAAGTCCAATCGGTACGCTATAATTTGAAAAATAAAGCTTTCAATTCAAAGAGTAATGGTAACAAGGATTGTATACCCACTGCCTTTTCATGAACATCAACACTACCTATACATGATGGAGAACTGTAGTTGATCCGAAAATTGAGACAGAACCCAGCCGATAGCACTCCTCACCGGTTTACAGCATCTTAATGAGAACTTTAAACTTAACAAAAATTGCTATTTAAATATTTCTAATAAATAACAAAGAATAATTAAGATCTAAACACATCACACAATCACAAATAACATAAGATCTAAAAACAAAAAACTGACGACTGAAGAAAACAAAAGGCAAAAAAACAATAAAAATAAACAAAATTGTCTTATCTAAACTGCTACACCAATTTTATATAAATAATAATATGTAAATAATTTTAAACTTATCGGTAAACAGACGGTGCGACCACGTCCCTACTGTTATTATTTAATTTTACGTAATAATTTAATTGGCTCATATAATGGCTAACAATATATTTTTTTAAGTTTGTAATTAGAAAAGACACCTCTAAATACATAAGTTTAAAAAGCAAATTAAAATCTTGTGTAAATACACTGTTTCATCAAAATTGTTAGTTGTTTTTGAGAAACACAAAACTACGACTACGAGTATATATACATAAATGTACAATTTATGTATATATACTCGTAGTCATTGCCTTTTAAACAAATCACATCACATCACATCAACAGCCATTAATAGTCCACTGCTGGACATATGCCTCTCCTTAGAAAGGAGGTTTTGGCCTACTATCAACAAGTACAAAAACAAAATATATTTTTTGTTATTTTTTCTCATCAAATAAAATTTCTTCCTATCAAAAATTTATCGTACATACATGAAAGCTTGTTAGTCGAGACGGGTCGAATTCATCACTTAACATAACATTGAAACATACCTTATCTCAGCTCCATTCACCACGGCTAATGCACACTCGCGAAATGCAACATAAACTCATGCTAAAATACAAGCTTATCAAAAACATAAACCGCCCTTTGTTTAAAAGGTTCTCATGAAAACATCTCCACTTATTAATTATAAATAAAAACCGTGTGATGTGGGGTGTATGGTACCCCGGTCGGCACAAAGTTCGGCAAGAAGTGTCAGTAAAAAGTCTTGTTGCACATTTTTCATCGTCCGCTTAGAGCGTGTAAAGCGCGATAAGGAACTTCGTTATAAAATTATTTTAATCATTAATAATAAAAATTGATATAAACTAAAAAAATGTAAATCATGTAGTTAGTTAGATTATAATATTTTTTTACGTCCCCATGTTCCTAATATTAGTTTAGAAATACGCATATTATGAAGATTATAAATCTTATAATATTAGTTCTTATTTATTGGAACGGAGTTCCTTATCGCGCGATACACTCCTTGAGCGAATGGGAGCGAGACCGAAAAATGTGTAACAACACTTTTTCCGACAACATAGAAATAAAGACAGAAAAAGCGTTTATTTTGGTAATAATACAACAGTTTTAACAATTTTGCCTTGTGTCAGATGGAAGCCTGAACTGGGCCCAAATTGGTGCTATGCGTAAAACCAGTTGCAAACGTCTATCAAAAAGCAAAAGGAACTTTTTTCCGACCGGGGGTCCATAGACCCCTCCCGCCGTTTTTATTCTACTTATGTAACATAAATAAATTTAAATAAATAAAAACATCAATAAGGAGGTTGTGACGCAGATGAGGCTACCACGCTTCCAAAAATCGTACTTTTTTAAAGTTACCGGTACTACTTTAACATAGTCACGTTGGGATCATAAAAAGTCACAAGATGTAGCCTTTATTGCTATAACGTGATAGGTAGAGGGAGGCAATAAAGTTTGCTTTCCGTTTTATCTACCACCATTAATTTTTATGTGTAGGTTTTGCACCACGAATCGCAAGGAATTGCGTCTTCTGTAAATCGAGCTTAATGCGTATTTCATGCATGCAAATCTTCAATAATAAAACAATTAGGGTTTACTACCTACTACTTTAGAGAAGTTGTGGGTTCGAATTATTTGCCACTATCAATTGGCATGTTGGTTCGATTCGACGTTTTAGTCCATGAATGAGAGGCCATGAACCCAAGTATAACAATAGCAGTAGCGTGGGATTCACGATACCAGTGCTCAATCTTTTAAAAACAATTTGCTGATTTAAAACCTAAAACATATGACAAAAACAAAGCGTGCGAAATCCAGTCAAAAATTAAAAAAAAAACATTTTACGTGCCTTTTGTTTAGATTAGCAACTGGTATACAAAATTAACAAAATATTACGCAAATCTAGAATTGAAACTTTTAATTTTTACTCAGACAAAAGTCTGTAGTACTTTAACCGGTTTCGGCAAGCAACGGATATACAAATGACGCAAAACTGACCTTATGTACCATACAAACTTATAATTTTTGTTTACGTACATTTCTAAGCTACTCAAAATAGAGAGAATACTTACTATAAAAATGTATTTATCTTGTTTTAACTATGATATTCAACAAAGAAAACGTAAATAAGTTTGTAAACAACACGATTCAATGAGTCACACGGTCAAGAGCCTGTGGTCTTAAACGAACTTAGATTTTATGTAGTAAATATTTACATCGAGTCCTTAGTAGCGCCAGGTGGCGCCAGCTGGCATTCATGTCTCGTCCTACGAGCAACTTTCATGAATAGTTAACTGACTATTATAATTCTAGACTAAGATCGCGCTTTGCAAAGTAGCGCCCCAGTAGTAAGGCTGGCCAATACAACGGTCTTAAATATATATGAACTACTTTGATTTCTGTTTTGAATATTATATGATACACTACCTCGATGTAGATACCACGAAATCAGCTAGGTACGCAAGTGAGTAAGGATTGCTTCGCCGATCAAGTCTTGGATATTTGTATTTTTAAGTTTGAATTACGTGCTTAGTAAAGGTCTATGAACACAAAGAAGATGAAAAATAAATCTTTATCATTTATTATACAAAGGTGAAAATACCATTGCAAATGAAATAAGAATTATGTTAACATAACATACAAAATCTACATCAAAATTGAGAAGCTCGTTCTTCTGAAGTTTGTTTAAGACGTAGTGATTCGGATGAAATGAAAAAAGACTTATGTAAACACCTAGACACTGTTAACAAAAAAATACTGAGTAAGATGCTCCCACCGAAAGCTCAAAAGTGAAGGATTTTTTTCCTCAAAAGGGTTTTAAGATAAGAATCATACGTATAAAAAATATTGTCGTAGAAACTAAACGTGGACTAGGGTATTAACCTCTTTTTTTTTTAAACATGAACTACCGTCTGCTTAGGTAAAAAGCCAATACGTTCCTTACGTCCCATTGTATTTTGAAACCAAATCAGACATTTACAAAGCAGAGTTTTCCATTGAGATAAGAGAAATCAACAATATCATATTGGTCATGCCGATTGTTTAGGTCAAGCGATAAAATAAGGTTAAAACACACATCTTTAATCAGGACTCCATATTGTAAATTTGGAGTAAATTCATATAAAATGAGGTTAATATTTAACCATATGAATTTACTCCAAATTATTTAGATGAATTTACTCCAAATTTTAACTTAAGGACACATTTTCGAGATCGAGATTAGAAACCGGAACAAAATCTTTAGCTAATGCAATAATGGTTAGTGCTTAGAGATAAACTCAGTCTCGGTACTAAGTTTTTAATATGCCAAGAACTACGTCATATACAAGTATTCATTCCGCTACACAACTTGTACAGTTTTATTGATACATATTTTTCTACGTTTATTCAATAAATGGCGTACCTTATCGTGTAACCCTTTGAACTCACATTTTATCAAACAATTAATTATTTTTCTGGCCATTAAGATTTACGTATCAGCTCACCGCTCACGATACGATACGTAAGCAAAATTTTTTAACAGTTTTATAGAATCAAGTATAATCTTCTGGTATTTGCCTAACGGAAGAAACTGTTTACACAAAATGGACTTAACAAAAAGTCAAATCGATTGTATTACCTGCTAAAATCAAAGTCTGAACAAGAAAATGAGTTTTCTGGGGGCGTTTATACTGTGTAAGCGGTGTAAGTGGTGTCAACTAAACATTGATATAGTGGATCTTTTCTTCTCGTGGTACGTGCTCTGATTACTTATAACAAAACGTGATACATAATGTATTCAACTGTAAACAAACGTGAGTAATTGTGCAGATATTCATTGGCATAATCTAACTTTATATGTATAGGCAATACCTTCGTGTTCTCTATTAGGCATCATATCTAAACCAGTGTTTGGATTCTACAACTTTGCGTAAGCTTTTATTAAGTACAGCGTTCCATATGATACTACATCATTGCTTCTACATAAAATTATAAGTGGTCATTTTCATTACCAACCTTTTCAAACGACTTGAAAAGGTTTTCAATATGAGTATTTTTTTTGTGTACATGTACATAAAAAACAAGTCAGTTCAGGAAAGCTCTTTTATCTCTTACACGATATCTCATTCCTTTAAGAACCGATTTATATTATTCCTTTTTTAAAAATTCAACCTTTGTGAAAAATTAAGGTATACTAAATGCACTTTTTTGTAATAATTCTTTTAAAGTTTACATCGCAATATAGTCTTAGAACAATTACAAAAAAAAAACGATAAAAATAATCCAACAAACGCATAAACCGCTGGTGCCGGCCGGTTATTTTGTTTTATCGACAGAAATTTGCACACAATGATTAGAAACAAACGGCATCGATATTTTGCTTTCACAGCTCATGTACTGTTATTATTTACTTGAAATATTCACTTGTTTATTTTTTATTTGGGTAAAGTTGCGTTCCAATCGTAACGATGTTTGGCATATTTTACTTTTTTATCCGGTGTCTAGCGTTTGAAGTTATTTGTTATAAATTACATTCCAAATGAAGTTGAAGATATCCCCATTTATATTCACGTTAGAATGGCATGTACGATAAAAGCTTGAAGAAAGGCAGTCTTTGTTTCTAAGACAATTGAGAGCCCATAATAAATGAGTACATATAAAACGGAACATGGTCGGATTCTCGGGAGTCTGTCGTCCGAGACGTCAAGTGTTTACTGCCCATACAAACCAATATTGACATTCTCATTGTCTATTAACTGACGGCTAATCTCTTTGTATGGGATATTCTTTTGTGTAACTTAAATCAACTCATTTCTTTCATTAGTATATTGACGACACCAAGGCACAGGGGAAATAAAACCAGGATATATAACTATGTAGTGCGGTTATTGAGAACGATAGCAACTTGAAATTCATGTGGGTCATAAGCTGAATATATCTTGGAAACGTTCATATGTTTAACAGTAACGTGATAGCTTATAAATAAGCTATGTCCGATACAGAGCTTTGACGTCGCGCCGAATAGAACAATATTTCACAAAAACTCATAAATGTCTGACTAGTTTCGGTACACCAGAGCAGGAGGTGGGCTCGGTCGATCCAGTTTCATGTGCCAGCAGCGTCGCGAGACGAACAGCCCATATAACAAACAGATATTGCTAGAAAGCGTTCTATTCAACATGATACAAGACCTACTACAGAGATCAGGATATAAATATTGTTAAGAATAAATTCAAGGAGTGCTAGGGATCAGAAAATAATTAAGCCAAAAGTAACAAGCTATTATTGAGAAAGAACAAAGAAGTTTATAGTACCTAAAGTGTTCAATAATATAGACTTATTAAGACAGAACTATAACAGTAAAAACATAAAGAAAAAACTTAAGGACTCATTGCTTGATGGTAGTTGAAAAACAAGCCCTTATCTACTCTTCTGCTTTTTTTAGTAATATATTTGTTGTTTGTATTTAATACGTATTACTGCTGTTTGTTTTTTTTTCAATAATTTGTAAAATACCACAAGAACCATTACATTTACCGAGTTTAAAATGTAATAAGTTTGCAAGCCTTATAATGTATATAAACAAATAGGTAAATAAAAAAAGTGTTACGTCACAGGAACTACCTGGGTCTTAACTATATGCATATTTGTTCCGTTCCATAACATTAATTTTAACTTCAATAAATATATCATAAATTTTATTAAGCCATTAAGTAATACAAGTAGTAAGTAAGACAAAATAAACGGTACTTATCATCATCATCATCATCATCAGCCAATCGCGGTCCACTGCTGGACATAGGAATTGCAATGGGAGAGGCCTAGGCCTAAACGGTACTTACATTTATTAAAATATTCATATCATTATATAAAAGGCATAAGACAGTACATCAGCAGAAAATAGTAACTAATAAAAACAAAATACAAAAATGAAAAGAAACAGAATAGTATTTGTATAAACTAGATCTATGTTTTATAAATAGATCAAATACTAGCAGTCAGTGCAGTTCCTTTGTAGTCACAATGATAATTGTTTTAATGAAATCTTGCTAAACGTCGATTTACTTATTAGATTTTCTAATGAACACAACTTTTCTATTCCAGAACACTACGGGGCGAGTTTGGGCGCCCGTTATAATGTGACCGGCGCACGACGAAGCGCGTCTCTCCTCAAGGTAAAATCCTCTCTCTACACTCCCGATGCTTTAAAGCCGCAGTAGGATAATCAGATAACAAAACTGATGAGTTTAAATGTCGCACGCTCAAAAATAAAAACCTGAGTCATGGTCAAGAGCTTACGGCCTTCATTTATTCTAGACTCAAGATGAAACTTTGTAAACTCAAGAAACAGCTAGGAACATACGCACATAGGTGTTAATGTTATCACAATTTAACATTAAATTTGTTTGTAAATAGATTCACTTAAAATAATTATTTTAGATGTGATTATAAGTCTTGTTTATAATATCATTTACCAACATAAAAACTGACCCGCCAACACTTGCTGAATCATATTTAAGTTTTAAGAACGATCGTAGGTAAATATATGAACATTAATACGAAACAGGTAATTGCTATTGGAACAAGTATTATGGCAACGTATTCGGTTAACCTTTAAAGGAACAACTCTGTGTGCATATTATTCATTGTGCAGGGCGCGGCTCTACAGTCGGCCATGAATCCGTGATATATTATTTGTTATTCACGGGCAAAATCTGTCGCCGACGGCTTCCGTCAATGCAGTCTGTTTCCCTTCCAAAAATACAAAGATTATATTCCGAACGCATCCGTCTCAGTACGTTGAATGTGATTTCATTTCGTACTTACTCGTTAGCATCCTTTAACCGACCGTTTAAGAAATTCAGCCCACCATTAAAATTAGAACGCTATGGCGTTCAAAAGCTGCGACTCGAACTAGTAATAGATAATGACAGGTGGAAGAAAAATTAGAGCGATAAAATACCTACCTACTTTTGTATTAAAAGTTGTTGTACGCCCTTTAAAATCCTGGTTGCAACAGAGAAAGTTGTAAACGTGTATGCTTACGCTGTGAATACAGTTTTTATATTGCGCTGAATTTAATGGCATATTATATATTTTGTAATCGAAAAACGTAATTGTCCGCTTTGAGACAAATTTTATTGAAATTACGTGTAGAAAGCAGTAAAATACTTGCACAAGATAAACCCTACTTGAGACACGTATGCACTCTAAATTGAGAATTGAAATTTACAGGGCAGATGATTGGTCTATTTTTATAAATAAACACCGGCTGTGTGTTGTACTCTGCAGATGGTATTAGGTGTTTTGGATATTGACATTTCTCATTTGTAACTAAAAACAATCTGTGCGCTGAAGAAAGTTATAAACATTAGTCTAAACCACTTCAGATATAATTAAAATGTTAATTTTACAGTGAGAGTAAATTCCAGTGCAGTTAGTAAGACGATTGTGCAGATGGAGGTATTTAGAATACCATAGTCCGCGAGAATAAAAGTGATAACAGACCTATAAAAGAATTGCTACATGAAGTTATTTTATTAACATCTACTCAGTTTTCTAAAGTTTAAATATGTCCATTTAAATGTCTTTCCATCTGTTAAATATATATCAAAGTATACAATGAACAACGCTAAAATATGTAATTTGATTTTGTTTTATTTGCATATTACCACGAGATAACAAATGTGTTCACGTGATATATTATAATATAAGCAATGAAACATTAATTAAGAAGTCATTACAACATTATTATACCTACATACATACATGAACATAAACTAAAAGTACAATAAAAAGAAATACTCGTAGCTTGTCATTGAGTAAATAGGCGAAAGTAAGTGCTCATCATAATCAATTATAGAACAAATACTTTACACATTTGCCGGTCACTTTGTTTGTTTAATATCTTAGTCAATTCCTGTCATACAAAGAGCTATCAATTTAGTAAGCAAGAAATAAAAATGATGAAAATATTACTTTTAGGGCATAAATCACACATGGCAATCAACCCACCATTCTTGTGTCAATTGTATAGAATTAGAGCAATAGGTGTTAATCTGCACTGTTAAAATGTGTTATACACAAAATTTTGTTAAAAAGCGGCATATTAATTTTTCAACAACATAGTTCGTAATTAAGCCTTGCGCTAAAATAACCTCGTCGCACGTTAGATTGTTTTTTTTTTCGATTTCTCTGTAATATCAATCTATTATAAGTTTGCGAACTAAGAATACGATATTCTTAATTCGCAAACTTATATCATCATCAACAGCCCCTAACAGTCCATTGCTGGACATAGGCCTCTCCTTAGAAATGAGGTTTTGGTCTACAATGCCACGCAGACCGGACAGGTTAGTTTAGGGTTTGTTTCAAGTTTCAAGTTCCCTTCTTTTTGCAGTGCTGTTGTCCTGTCGAGTTTGGTCCCTTAGTCGGCTCTTACGACACCCACGGGATAAATAGAGGTGGTGGCACTCTGTATTCCTAATCCGTCACCCCACGGATGTATACTTATATAATATTAATATAATACATTACAGGGGACTGGATTCTAATTTTAAAAGTAGTGCTAAATGTCTTTTATGTTTTTTATAATGATGACGTTGACATTCATTCTATTTTTAAATTTGAATCAAAAACAAAATCAATAAATATGTTTTTAAAGTTGATACTATTTAAATATGTGAGGCAATACCTAAATGTAGACAAGATGTAGGAACGATAGTGAAATGTCGAGGTACATGCTAACCACTCAGTCAGTAGGTCGCTCTCAACGACCGACACACTTGTTCATGAGAGTGACAAAACGGCTTGCAGCTGCAAAACCGAATCTTACCTTAACACACCAAAACGATTTATATGTAAACGTTTAATATTGGAAAAAAAATAGAAGTCGTTTGTTCTTTAATATTTACTTGTAATTTTAGGAAAACTAAACATACAAAATAAATTAGTTATCTAATTCAATTGATTGTTGTTCGGTCGTTTCAAAATTTAATTATAAGTTACAGCCTTTTCCCGCTATACAAAACTTCGTTAAATGCAATCATGCCAAAAAAACTGTGTAGTACCTACACGAACTTGTTAAGCCCATAACATAAATGATGGCGGTTAAGGTAATATTAAAAAGTTGAGAGAAATGAGAAATGCAAACTAAAAATGGCAATAAATAATTTGCGTCTATTAATTTGTATTGCCCTCTTGCTTTCTACTAATGACTTCAAGCTCGTTTAATTTTTTTACTTATTACGGGAGTAATTAAAAAAAAATATATATGTATAGTTACCTAAAAATGAAAGCATATCTTTACTATCTAGGAATAACAATAGACTAGTTGACTCACCTTCATTACTATTAACATAATAGTACTTTCAATTTTAATACTAAGTATTTTATATTCGTTTTTCTTACCCACGACTATGCACTACGATAACAATTACGAATTCCGGTACCCTTGAAGCCGATACAGCTATTATGTATAAAATAAATAATAATAATAAATTAAACTGAATGATCTGGTAAGTTAATAACGAATAAAATGTAGAAACTGGATAAATTTTATTTTATTAATAATAATAATACTTTTTTAGTTTTAGAAATAGACATTAATGATTTACTATAAAAATATAAATAAAAGTTAAAATAGATTTAATCATTATTTTCAGTCACAGTATTAATTGGTCAGTGGTAAGAACAAGAAGTGTCGGAAAAAAGTCTTGTTACACATTTTTCGGCCTCGCTCCCATCCGCTCAGTGCGTGTAAAGCGCGATAACGAACTTACAAAATACTTTCCACGCAAAAGGAAATAAATAAAGCGATGTGGAGGTACACAACACGACACGATTGTAACTGTTGCTGACAACCAGTGGGGATATCAATTAGAAGAGCTACCATATAGAGAAAATAACTGACAGCTGAAACAAAGCAGAGCTAGGCGGTACTACTACCCCCCAACCAAATAGTTTCTTGTTAGAACTTAATCAACGAGATCGTAGATATTTAAAACTCATTGTATAGCTTGGAATGATAATAAATAAAGAATCAGTGCTATTGATAGATATGAACACGACTGCAAATCCTATCCATAAACTACTTAATTCTTAGTTTCTTATACAATTTCGTAAAATTAAGTAGATAAAAAAGAACAATATTGATGTTAATGGTGTTAATGATTGATTATATGGGTAATAAAGTAAAAATTTATACGCCTCGTTTATCTAAATATAAAAAGACAATTTATATAAAATATCTAAACATTTTAATATCCATAGAATGATAACCTTAATAATCATTGCATATACCTATATTTTCTTTTAATAATATGTCTATTATTTCGTGTACCTACTTGTTATTTGTATACGTAAATCGGTAATCAAAACTACAAGCAAACAATGATTAATTAAACTAACTTCGACTCCAGCGAACTACACTTGAAGTCTGAGAGCCCTTTGGATGTAATAAGTAAAATTATTATAAAGTGGGTTTACTTGTACAATTATTGAAGACGTTTTCTTTGTCTGTATAAGACTATTATTAAAAAATAATTATTTTTATGTTACATACCCTGTTTATTGAGGATATTTTAGATATGATAGTTATAGATAGGAGCGTAAAAGCGATATATTAGGACGCAACTTGTAGCAGCAAACCAGTAACTATTCAAATCTAAACCAAATTAAACTGCTACATTCCAACAACAAGAATATTCTGTTTAAACAACCATTTATCACTTTCTATTTCTCATAATAAAATCGAATCAGATGACTAACTTCACCTGACTCACTAGACTTTTTGTGATGAATAGGTACAATTTGTGCTATTTGCCTTTAGTCATTATTTCGTCACAAACATTTATTCAATATGGTAACCATGACATTTAATAAACAGTGCATTGACGTAGAAAGTGTAGATATTTTCGAATTTAGTGATTTTGTAATCGATATTCGTCTGTCGTTGTGGTCATTAATACTTTTTTTTATCACGAGAGGCTTAGTTATATCTGATGTTGACTAATCAATGACTAAAGCAACAATATTTGATATTCTATGAAATCGGATATAAAATGATATTTTATGCAACCTTTTTTTGTAAGACTTTTACGCATATATAATTTATTATTGTTATTATAATCTCAGACAATTATAGTCAGGCTCAACATCTGTTGTATCTCAGGTA